GACCTTTTGATGTCCTTCCTTGCCTATAATTATCCGTAGTTACTTACTTCCACGCCCTTGTGCTTGTAGGGTTGCTTCTGAACTGATATTTTGACTGTCTTCCTAGTGTCTTTCTCTTTTATTCCCGTAACATTCATATGGTACCTTTAACTATCCCGACTCCTATCTGAATATATCTCAAGTAGTACAATGACATTACTGCGAGGCTGAATTCACTATATTGGGTTTTACTAGGTTTATCTTGCATGATCTACTGATACATCTACAACCTCCTGTCTAGCCATAACTAGGTTCTTCTTGAATCAACTGCCAACTACTCATTGGCCCATTCTCATATCAATATTCTCCGTAATCTTTCTTGGGTTATTTCCTTTGTCTAACTTACCTCTCGCACTGGCTCCTTATTTATCAATAACATTCCGGGCGGGAACCCTTACTTTCTTCTTGATGTCGTGCTTGCATAATATTCTGGAATCGTGGCCTATCTATGGGATTTGGATAAGTGCGATCTCATTCCTTTTTCATTTTTATCGCATTCTTCCTTTACCATTCCATAGTCACTAGAACCACTTAATTCCGACTTAATGCAACATCACTCCATATCCCCCCTTTAGGGGAGTACTAACATTTAGTGTTACGATGATCTACGTATAGATGTTTTACCATTTCTATATTGGCATCTTTCCACATCATCGATGGCCCTTACTCGCCTTGCGATAATCTTTCTGTACTAAGGATAACGAAATTCATTACTCGCAAGGATGACGATTACTATAACTGGCACATATAGTCTCTTACGCTTAACTTTTCTCACATTGCTTGCTTTAGGTTAGAGTCTTCCTGAGTGACCATTCTCTGAATTTCTCATGAACCTTTTTCTATTGTCCATTCTGTTATCGCCGAAACGAAAATATGAAATTCTCATGATGTTGACCACTATCAAATCACTCAGCCCCTAATTTATGTTTAGTTTATCTTGTTCACCAGTCCATACTGATTTCTATTATTCTGACATCTAGCTTTTCCTTCTGGTAATCACGTTAGAGTCACGAACTTATTTTTCGAGTTGAGGATGTGACTTTATGGCCTATACCATTTTGTTGTCTCAAGGCCTTTCACCTCTTGTATTTTCCTTCACTTGACTATAGACTGTGTAACACTGTCATCTTTTTGATCTTCCGTTGTCATCCATATATCACATCTTACTCATAATGCTCCATTATGTCTCTTCTCATTTCCTGCTAACATCTATGTCTATCACTTTATTTTGAAAACTTGAACAAGACATTCTTTTGCTTTTAGCTCCCCTTGCTCCATCCAATGGCTCTTCGAATTTCCTAATATTCTTTCTATACTAGGGACGGGAGCCACACTAAGGAAATATTTATCCCTTGTAGGCTTCTAGTGCCTATCTTTGTAGTACTCATATCTAGCTGTACTATTTTAGAGTGCACCATCTAGGTGTCTCACAAGGAGATCTATTAGCAAATTTGCAATAT